AAAAAAAAAAAAAATCAAGAAAGTATCTGGTACAGAGTCTGGTGTATCTGTCCTCCACCTGGCAATAAACTTAGCATCTCTCGCAGTTTTGCATGGGAAAACTGCATAAAGAGGCAACACAAGCACTTCCTCTATCATCACAACGTTAGCTGCTCAGCAATGGATTTTACAAACTAAAATATACTTGGGATGGCAGAGAGCAAGCCCCAGTCTTGTTTAAATATGGATGTCCAGCACTTTTAGGATGGTCTAGCCTCTGTCTGCCATTGCAAGGGGTTTCAGGTCTGCTGTGTGTCTTGCTGCCAGCCCCTTATAGATGTCCCAGGTCCCTTAACACACACCAGAAGGTGCTAGATAACTAGAGGTGCCAGAATCACTCTCATACTGTCTATCTCTATCTGCCTCTCAGCCATTTTTAAAAATGGGGGTTATGTTTCCCCTTTTCCAGTCAGCGGGAACTTCACTGGACTGCCAGGACTTCTCAGGTATGATGGATAGTGGCTTAGCAACTTCATCCGCCAATTCCCTCAGGACCCGTGGATGGATCTCATCAGGTCCCATGGACTAGTTCACCTTCAGGTTCCTTAGATGGTCTTGAACCTAATGTCTCCTACACGGCACATCATTCTCCCAGTCCCTGCCTTTGCCTTCTGTGGCTTGGGCGATGAAGGAGTGGATGACTCTGGGTGTAATGAAAGGAGACTTGGAGATGTAACCTTGGGGCTCCAGTTGCATGGAAGGACTTGATACTAATACACCGGGTGGGTCAATGTAGGCAAAGGGAAGAACCTCACTTAATGCAAGAGTTTTTGGGGAACTTCAGAAGGAACTACATCTACTGGCATGAGCGTGAGGTGGTGGGGCTGCCAAAGCCACTGCTCTCTGCAGTGAGAGGATGCTCTACCAAGGCATCCACTGGCCATGTGCATGGGGAGCCCTACAAATAATTTCTGCAGCACCACTGTCTTTTACCAGTGAGTCTGTGGTAGTGGATTTTAACTAAGGAGAAGAGGCAAGACCACTTTAGGCTTTAACAGTGTGAATCACTTTTTATCTTACAGTTCTCTTGGGTGTTGGGGTCAGCGCTGCTCCAAAGGGAACAGGGCCTCCTACAGCACCTCCAGCACCTCTCCGCACCCCATAAAACCCACTCGTGTCATGCAGAGTGGGATTTACCTGAGCACACCACACCAGCATCTTCTCCATGCACACAGTTATGGCTTCCCCAAGCTTTTGCACTGCATTCTGAGAGGGCAGCTTCCGTTCCTTTGCAGTTCACATCATCAAGCCAAATGGGGTCAGGCCCTCCCCCAAAGTAAGCTGAGGAAGGAGCAGATAGAGCGGTCCCGCAGCCCAGCTGCCGGCATACAACTTCAGCATCAATTATATCCCAGTTGTCATCACAGACAGTTCCCCATTGCTGGCCATAAAGCACCTCCACTCTCCCAGCACAACGACTTGAACCATTCACTAATTGCAGCTTAACTGTTTTTTTAATTTCTGCATTAAAAAAGAAAAAAAACAACAACAAAAACAGGATCACAGATTGCACATGGAAAGATTGCCTAGAGATCAAAGGCAGGGAGAGATCTTCACTAGCATTGCCCAGGACTTAACGAGGTGAAGGCTGGTGAATATCAGGTTCTGTGTCTTCCTCTGTGGTTGCAGAGCTCAGAATCAGAGATATAAGTAGCATAGATTGGGAATCCCTTATGAAACAGGACTGTGCAATTACCCCTGTGATGTTACTCTAGGGGTGGGGACTGGCTACAGATCAAGACACCCACATGTCTTAATAGACCTGTTGGTGTCTCCATGTGAGGTGGAGGTTCAAATTCTAGTTAGTCAATGACATCTGTGGAGCTGCTCAGCTGGCCAAATACTGACATTTGATTCAATTGCCCAAATAAGCATTCAGCAGCACATGTGATGCCATAGGTATTCCCCCAGACTCCTACTCTGTAGGGTCTCTCCCTTACGGCCTGTATCTCATCTGTCAGGTTGTGTCAAATGCCCCAGGGCATCTCTAATTGCACTTGGCAACTCTGTGTAGGG